GCGTCGTTGCCCACGAAGTATGACAACGCACCTTGGGCAGTGGGGCGAAAAGGCTGATCTACGGCCAGAGTCGGCTTGAAGGTAACCGGTCCAATGTCATAGCCGTAGAGGATTTGGATAGCCTCCGTCGCGATCGTGACAAAGTCTGAGCTTTCATTATTCTGACGGTAAGCCGCAGAGATGTCGAGGATGGCATCCTTCCAGTCCTGCTGAGCGGCGTGGACATCCGCTTCGCAGTTCCATTTTGGATAGGTCTTGTCATGCCACCTCCATGCCGCAGCTCCCATTGCAGCACCATCCTCCGAGGTATGGCTGCGCTGCAACAGAACGTTTTCCTCGCTCGGAGCGCACTCACTGCACGTGGCTGGTGCTCCTTGCTGCCCCATAGCAAGGGCTGCAAGGCCAGTCAATAGCACCAAGCGGTTGATCATCGCTCGCAAGGGCTGTCGGCTTTCGGACCGGGTGCTCCTGACTTCGCTACAGCAAAAAGCTTAAGCGAAGCGGCCGATGCATGCCACGTCTATCACACCTGAAACGATTCGGGCTAGGGTTTCTGGTTCCGGGTTCGGGCACATGAAACATGCAACTAAATAGGTGCAATGGTTTCCTGATTGCATGGGAATGGAATGGAATCATAGTCTTACCAGTACATATCGACGGCTCCTCTCTGGTAGAGCGGTGTGGGTAGGTCAGAGCCCCGAACCTGTACAATTCGGGTATCTGCGACTGTCGGGGTTCAGGGTTGGGAAGATGTACAAAGACACCTCCGCGCATAACTCATTGAAGAGCCACTTCGGGATTCGGGGGATTGGAAAATCTGCTCTGAGACAGAAGCGTTTCGGCTCACCTCAGCTTATCTCTAAGTCCGACATCGCCGAGGAGTATTAATATGATGCAAATTTTGCCCCACACACGCAGCGCTGATCCAGCCTCCCTGGGCATTTGCTTTGGCCTGCACGTCGGTCACAGGCAAGCTAAGAAGCCCTCTGGAAAACCTCGAAACTCTGAACATCTCAACGAAGCAGAAGAAACCGAGTCCGAACATCAGAGCTAGTTGCTGAAGGCTGGCCAAGGCAACTCTGAGCTTGTTGAAAACCGTGCAAGGATTGGCCCAAAGTTCCCTCGATGAACTTCCTGGTGCCAGATTGAACCTCTGAACATTGCACGGCTATAGGCTCCCAACACATTGCGGGCCGCCGGGAGCAAGTGATGGAAAACCAAAACCCCAACACCACATGCCCTCGACCCAAAAGCCCTACATGAACTCACCAGAAACCAGCCCCCCCTTTTTGCAACAGGCTTTCCACTTCGCCCAGAGTTGGAGCAAGAAACCCTAAAACCCATATAAACCCTAAACCCTAAAGCCGATGCGAGTCTTAAGCATCCCAGAGGGACCCCCCCAGGCCGACGCGCTCTGCCCCAAAGTCCCGAGGTCCTGGGAGCTCCAAAGACTCGGCCAGCGGCATCCTCTTGACCGGACCTGATCTTGCGGTTCAGTTGATGGAGGAGCCTCATAAGATAATGAGTAGAATAAGGTTTGGGGGTTTCCTGGACTGTAATTATATATATCACAAAAAAGAACCACACAATAGTATCGGCAACCCCCCGCCGCTTTAGACCCACCCGCTCGCAGAGGAGTTTCGACTCTCACGCTCGCATAAGGCAGGCAAGGAATCACTCAAGTTGTCCACGAGGCTACTGCTTCGAAAACGGAACACAGCCAATGCCTCACTCGGGGTTTTCACAAGGAGCCCTTTTTTGAACCCAGGCTCTTTGCTATCAGCTGGGGAGCAGGCANNTAAACCCTAAACCCTAAAGGAATGGCACTTAAAGGGGATGCAACCCGAGCCTGGTAACCTGACACCCAGCCACCACAACGGCTGAATTCCGACCGTTCCATCCTGGGCTCATTACCCGCAAAAAACATAAAGTTAAAGTATGAAATCTACCACCATACGTAACAAACAGATAGAGCCTAGATAAGGTTAACACCAGTCTGTGATAGACACTTGTCGCAATACTCCATGTTCCCAAAATTGAGGCGGGCAGCTTCCAGGGTACCAAGTGGCACTTTCATGGCCGGTATTCAAGTCGTCTGGCTTATGGACCCTATAACCCTAAACCC